TGAAAGATGAAACAGGAAAAAACATCATGTAGTAGCACTTGTCTTTCAGTATTCATTGACAGGATTTGCACATTCTTGGTGCGACTACTTCAGTGTGACACTTAATCATGCAGATCCTAACTGCAATATCAGTCATTGTGAGCAGGGAGCGTATATAATGATGTGTTGGAGGGGATGACACTATAATTCATATTGCTGGGTTTGAGGTTGCTGGTGCACTTCAGTAGATTGAATGACTATTACCTTCCAATAACATCCTCTTTTTGTAGAGGTAGAAAACCAGAAAAATCATAGGGAGTTTTGTGTATGAAGGTAGGCTAGCTCTTCGTTTAATGGTATTATGTCACAGAGAATCATAGGCCATGTTTCTGTAATTTGCAGAAAATGTCCTCTGAGGATCTGTTTGTCCTTAGTAACAGACAAGATTGGGCCCTTAATGAAGAATGGCAAGCGACTGCTTTGAGTATGCTATACTCTTCAGGTCTCTGTAAAATTGTCTACTCCTTCCCTTCCCTATTTTATGGCTAAATAAGCCTATAAACCAGGACATAACTGTAATTGATAATAAAGGTATTCTACCTATATGTTTAACTGCTATGAACAAATAAGATAGAAACATAAAAATAAAGTAGGTTGGGTGCTTGGTTTGAGAGATGTAACCATAACCTCAGTTTTTCCAGCATTCCATGTTAAAATTATATAACATTTTTAAGAGTTGATGTTCACTTAAAGCTGCAGACCTAGTATACTTCATGTGTTTGTTGCAATTTAAATGCTCCCATGATCGGCTGTTGAAGAGCTTCATCCTTGTAAATCACACTCTCTCTCAGTAGGGCAAGCCTGATCTAGCTGACCTCAGGAACTTGGGAGCTGTGAGAGGGGAGGCAATGGGAGCAAATGGGCAGTATGATCTAGTTAGTTGCATGCCCTGGTTCGTTGCTACACTTGCCCGCTGTGTTGTTTAAAGGTGTCGCAGTACTGCAGATCATATTGGGCCCTGAGAAAGTGGGTCCTTCTTTTGCAAATCTCTGTAATACCTCAACCTCAAGACTTCTTTTGTACACCTTAAATGTGACCCCTTTTTTATTTCTAATGCTGGCTGCTATAGAACTGTGGCTCATGGAAGGAAAGATTGGGAAGATATGATTAATAGGAGGCATAAGCATCGTCAGAATGGGAGAAAACTTGAACTACTAATGATAGTGTTGGTCAGATATTTTTTTTCTGAGGGAGTGGGATTGGGGGTGGGGGAAGCAGTGTTGAAAACTTCTTGGAAGTGGAAAATATCTTCTTGTAGATTAGCTAGAAAGATTGTGCTGTGCAGCAGTATTCCTTTCACGCTGACTGACCACAGTTTTGAAAAGAGAGCTGTCTCCGAAAAGGCAGAGAAAATGTGAGATGCCATGAGAGTAATCATGGGGCTATGATGTGGTTTGACCCTAAGTGCTAGAATTCCAGTGTCTTCCAGTCCTCCAGAAGAAAAATTCCAGATACCTTAAGGCTGGCAGTGGAACAAAGCACCATGAGATAGGCATGTAGTGTTCTAGCTTGGTAAGTTGAAAAAGTCAGTGTGTGTATTACACACTGATTCAGAGGCAAGTAGATAATAGCCGCATGGATACTGATATTGCAGAATGGGCAATCTGTTCATAAAACCATAAAATAAAATTAAGCAAACCCTAGGCAGGAAATAAGGTGCCATCTACAGGACTGCTTAGTGCCAGGTTGCAGCTCCCCAATCAATGTTGGTAGATGAAAGAGAGAAGAGAGGGAAACAGTGTATCTGCTAACTTCACTGTGAAAACTTTTGTGTTTGATAAACACATAAGATTACCCATTTTGAACCCAAAACAAATGCACTAAAGTACAAAGCACTGGTATGACAAAGTTGTGTTTAGGCACCAAACATTTGCTACCTTGTCAAAAGGCCATGTGATTCTTTTAGCTCAGTCTGTCAAGTTCACTGAAAAAATGTTCAAACTGCCTTTGAAAATTTAAGTACAAGAATCCTTTGCTATTGTTCTAGCCCATTATGTTTAGGGTATTTAGATTTTTTGTTGCTGTTCTTTCGGGATCTAAATTCTGCACTTAGAAACACTGTTTGAATTTTAGTCCATTATTTTTGTGAAATAACTTATAAAGGAAAAACTTCAGAAATACAAAATGTTGTAGTAATTATTTTATGGGCATTAAGATTATTGTGTGGGATCTTTAATGGAGGAGAGGGGAAGGAAAGCCTATTTCAGACACTTGTGATGTCATGGCAACCCTGAACACTGATTGTGATATTGCTCATCTGACCACCTGTCAGGGAATGAATTGAAAATAGTACTTTAAACTGGCTCCCTTCTTTGCTTCCAAAGAGTCTATGATGAATGGCTGCTGCTCCTTACTAAGAACTTTGACAAGCAGTCTTTCAGGACTCATTTCCATCACTGCTACTATTTAACGTCATTAGATAGTCTTTAAGAAATGTTGTAAGTTGACTGGGACTGTTATGTCAACAACATGGAAAAGATGGGTAATTCTGTTTGTTCTTTTTTTCCCTGCCCAGACACCACTGTGTCCTAGCTATTTCAGTGTGTGAGGAAGCTTTAAGCCTAGCTGAAACCCAGCTGGCAGAAACTGTTCAGTTTAGCATCTTTCCTGGATTCAGTGGAACCTTATGAGAAACGGGAGTGCTGTCATCCCAACTTGTACCAAAGGCATATGTTGTCTTGCACCTGAGTGCACTCTGCTTGTATCATTCTGGAGTTATTGTTCACACCGGACTCTAGCAGCAACAGTTCCCCATGGCATCTTTTTTTAAGTCCCATTCATATCAAGATGAAGTTATATTTTTCTTGTGGGCAGTCACCAACTGTCGGAACTTCTGTATTTGTCTCTGGTCTACAATATTAATGCTTTTTCTCATGCCCTGAAATAGGGATGCTATTGTTGATCTTTAATGATCTTCTAAGGGTATGTCTACTCTGTAGTTCAGAGGCAGGCTAAGTCTGGCCTGCAGTCTGGATCTGGCCGGCAGTGGACTCCATTTCCCAACAGTCCCTGCCCGTGTGGCTGGGGCTGGCTTCCCTGGAGACTGTAGCAGTACCTGTGCTGTGATAGCAGGGGGCTGGGGTTTCTGTGGAGCAGTGCTGGCAGGGCGCGGAGCTGCTCTGGGGCTGGGCTGGGATCTTGCAGCAGTGATAACATGGTCTGGAGCTGGGGCAGAGCTGCTATCTGGCAGCCTCCATGCTTCGGGCAGGGGCGTGCAGACAGCATATCGCAGCTCTGCCCCGGCTCCTTG